CACATCTCCTATACCTATACAAAATATACAGCATGTAGTACGGCTCGTAACCAGAGAAGTCCCATACACTTACATCTCCTATACCTATACAAAATATACAGCATGTAGTAGTACAGCTCGTAACCAGAGAAGTCCCAAACATTTACACATCTCCTATACCTATACAAAATATACAGCATGTAGTACGGCTCGTAACCAGAGAAGTCCCATACACTTACATCTCCTATACCTATACAAAATATACAGTATGTAGTACGGCTCGTAACCAGAGAAGTCCCAAACACTCACATCTCCTATACCTATACAAAATATACAGCATGTAGTACGGCTCGTAACCAGAGAAGTCCCATACACTGACATCTCCTATACCTATACAAAATATACAGTATGTAGTACGGCTCGTAACCAGAGAAGTCCCAAACACTGACATCTCCTATACCTATACAAACTATACAGTATCGCTCGTAACCAGAGAAGTCCCATACACTTACATCTCCTATACCTATACAAAAGATACAAAGTATTGTACATAAATTATATCTCCTATAACATTAATCAATTAATTATATAAATCACCCTGGTGACATATATATTTGTGACCTGCTTATATATATATATTACAGAGGACATTGATTTTAGAACCTGTGATCTCTGGTGTACTAGTCCTGCACTCTACCAAAAGAACTTAACAGAAATTCCTCCATAGCCGAGATGGAAGCCGCTACATGAAGTGTTTTACCAGGGTCACATACAAAATGTATACAATGTGTTTAGTACAATGCCTACAAATATATACTTTATACATAACTTCACACAATGAAAGAGTTAACCTGTTTATTACTTGATTTAAGACACAGATATGAATGTGCAAGCAAAGAACAAGTACTAAAACCTACTGTAAACATTTGGCGTATCAGGGGCTACTCACTCTATAACCTACTAATAGTAACAAATTATTCTCAAAATATTTTAACGGAAGCTAGACTCTACGAAGTCACAGAGAAGCTTGATAAAGATTTAACGGAAGCTAGACTCTGCGAAGTCACAGAGAAGCTTGATAAAGAGCGCGAGCTAGACTCCAAAGAAAACAAGAGAAGCAGCTAGACTCTGAAAGTACCAGAGAAGCGACTAGACTCCTAATATCCATGGAGAAGCTATAAAAGACTATGAATTGGAAACGCTAGACTCCGAAGAAGGCAAGAGAAGTCACTAGACTCTGGAGGCATCCAGAGAAGCGACTAGACTCATAGCCACCCCAGAGAATATATCTGTTAAATTTACCACGAGAAAACTGGCTACAGATAAAGTTAAGTAATAATCTATTTAAGAGATTGGGGGTAAAATTCCCCAAGAGTTTAAAGCCAAAATGGAACGATTATGTTAGTGCGACATAAGAGTGAGAGCCCCCAATATATACAATAAATTTATGTTTAGTACACCACTTTTATAACTACAAATAACTAATATATAATGAGTGCAACATAACTGGAGACCTACTGCACTTTGATGTCATGGTACTTTGTTTACTGACCGGAGACCTGGTGTATATTGAAATACTGGTACTTAATTTACTGACCTGATATTGAGACCTGCTGTACATTGAAATACTGGTACTTAATTTACTGACCTGATATTGAGACCTGCTGTACATTGATGCCCTTGGTATAGATTGGGTTACTAACACTGTAGCACAGGGGTGTGGGCAAACTGTACTGACGTGGAAGGCGTGGTCGACCTGAAAAAATCACAAATTCATAGAACCAATAACAAGAGTACCGCGGGGCAGAACAATATACGCCCGTTGAATGCCATATAGTGTTATATACTTTCTTACATTGAAATAAGATATGCATCATTCTAAGATGGTAAGCTGACATGCTATAAAAAATGTAGAAGAAAATCCCCAGACAAAAAATCAAATACTGGAATGAACAAAGGGCAATAACTTTTGGAAAAATTGTCCAATCAAAATTCTTTTAAGGGAGATACAACTTCATATCATGATTATAATGTATACCAAGTTTCAAAGAGATCGGTAGAAAAATGTAGGAGGAGATTGCCGGACAAACAAAAGTTTACGCCGGACAGAAGGACAACCCCATACCATAATACTTCCCGTCAAATTTGATGGGCGTATAAAAATCAAGCAGCTTCATTAATTATGCATCAATGCGAATGCATCATATTAGTAATTGAATTAGGCATGAGATCTGCAATACTTAATCTAGTTGAAACTGAACCATTCTTATGCCAGTTGTTGCATACAAAAATGTTACCAATCAGAATTGAAAGCCTCATTAATTGTGTGTAAATATGCATGCATCACACTGACTGGCAATCAAATTTTGTCTGAAAATTACCATTATGTATGTGAATACCTAATTTGGTTGAAATCAAACTTTTTTTTTTAGAAATATTGAATGAAACTAAAGCATTACAGGAAGAATGACGGACTAACCCAAATAAGGACCCCCCGATTTTCTGCCAAATTTCACAATATTCTTGGTTTGAAGATAGCAGTGTTAAAGTAAATCAGGCACCAGTAAGAGCTACGCAACCCAGAACTGTAAGCATAGTGAGGTATACCTTTGCCGGAGTCTATGGAAGCTTGACTGGTGAGGCGTGACCTACGAAACAGTCCACTGAACAGGCCACATTTGAGGGTCTCCACCAGAGTGGACTTTCCCACGCCTGTTGACCCAAGCAGCTTCAACTTGATCCTTGATAGTGGCTGGGAAGACGGGATCAGCTGGGTCACAAAGTTACCATTCCTGTCCTAAAAATAGACATTATTACATTTGTTAGAAAGTCACAGTCTGTGGTGTCAGTCTCAGGGACATTACTATGATGACCACGGTGAAGTGGAGGTTGATAATGACATTCAGTTGGTTAACATAAAGAACTCACTAACTGGAGCATATCTCCTCACCTAGTTCACATGGTTTTCTTATCTTTTGCCATTTTGCATGCAAAGCTTTTCCCCCCTTTATTCTAAATGTGAGTAATTTTCTCTATTTATAATACATGACGTAACAGTGACCTGACCTGGCGTGTTGACTCGACAGCTCATCTTAGGTGAGGGAGAACTAAATTCTATAGAGTGGAGGCATAAAAATAACCATAACTGCTGAAATATTTTTCGACCAATAGCTTCTATTGTCCCTCTTCTGATGGGTGTCTATCTCCTTAACAACTTACCCGCTTCACCTTGTTGACAAGTTCTGCTATTTCAGTGAATCCTTGAGCTAGAGCCATAATCTCTGACGTCACTCCATCCTGTAAAATATCATGTATGGTGTTAACAATTGCTCAAGTCAAAATACTGTATTTTTAAATATATATATTTTTTTAATATGAATGAGAATTTTAATAAATATTTGGACATTCAAAATGTTGATAATGGCAAGAAATGTAGTTATCCTGGAAAGAAAAGTCAGTTATATTGACTTTCTTTGTCATCCAGGTGCCAGTGTTCATGAAATAATTGTTCTATTTTATATCTACTTACATACAAAGTTGTATGTGTAGCTGTGAAATAGTGTTATTATTACTCATCCATTGTTCCACAACGTATACAACTGAATCCCATATGGTAGGAGCTTACTTTGTTCGCGATCTCAGGTCGAGCCCCAGACAGCAGTAGACACCGGACAATCTCTATGTGGCCATTTTTACCCGATAGGTGTAGTGGGGTGAAGCCATCCTGGAAAACACAACATCCTTTACTTAAATCACATGTGATAATTTTGTACTTCACTGTATTCCAAGTAGGTTAAATACTACATTTAATAACAGTTATCTCCCTTTAGCTTAGCTATGTTGTACCTCCAGTCTTCTCCAGAGGTTAAGGATTATGAACAGTGTCGGCTTTGAAAATAATCGAATGACACTCAGAGAGTACTATCTTTTTTATGGTACATCAGGAAGCTCAACGATGCCCCGATAACTTCATTGTCGAATGAGAAAAATAGTCTAGATAAGAATGTACTTTTTTACCTGACTGACAATGTCCACCTGGCATCCGAAGGCACACATGGTCTGGACGACAGCCGACAGTCCCTCTCTGGCAGCACAATGTAGGCCACACTCACCGCTCTCCTGGTAGAACAGAACATATTCAGTAACTTATTCCTAACATACGAACATCATATCCCATTAACTTTTGTATTTTTACAGTGACTCTATTGAACATCTTTATCTGTGATCAAATTTGACATGTAGTATTTGTTATAACTGAGATATAAAATATGGGGTCAAAGTGAAAGTTGGTCAGATCAAATGACAAGGTACTGAGCTGTTGTTTAATTTTGCAGGGCTAATATTTCATGGTTGGTCCAAATGAAACTATTTCACGGATAATCAAATTTTGTGAGTTACTGCCCAGTAAAAATGTCATGGTCACTTGCTACTGCTGTATAGTGTTAGATAAGATAAGGACAGGGCAACCACAGAATCCAGGAAATATCCAATTTACAGGTCGTTTACCATTCAATAATTGTGTGAACATCGGAATGCTAGTTGTCTTTACTGCTAGCATTAGAACACTGGCAGGGTAGGGTTTGAATAAAATTGGCATCGACACTGCCACAACATGGACTTGGCCGGGTTAATTTCTGTATAAGACCACGTACCAGACTAACCAATTTGGATGATGGAATTCATTGTATAGGTGTTAGTCATAGTAAATTATGAAAGTTTGAGATGGTATTGTTGTTTTGGCTCAATTTTTGGCAGTAAATGGGTATAAAACTCTGTACATATTTGTCTGTATATATGTATTCACAGAAATTAATATTTACTGGATATTTAATTTTGCACAATCTTTGATAAAATTTCATACAGCAAAATTTATATTCTCAGTAAATAATACCAAGTATACAGTAGACAGAAAATCTGAGGAACAAAGGTGACAGGACGCTTTCAAAAGCATTTCATAACTAACCAGTTGGTGTAATTAGAGTGAAAACAAATTTGAAATTCAGTGAAAAGTAAGTTTGAACTCAAGCTTAAGACAACACTTAGGAAATTCTGAAGTACAATACTCTTAACAAAAAATGTATACAGTTTGAGTACAAGTATGAAATGTTCCCAGACATTTCAGATGAAACTGTCATAGACACACAGAACAAAACTACAGTAGGGTTGAGATATTATCTCCCAAATTAGAAGCTGCACCTTATCAATAATGTCCATTTCACAGCCAGCGTGCAGCAGAATCATTGCTATGTTGCTATGGCGACGGTTACAAGCCAAATACAAGGCTGTGCCTCCTCTCTGGAATAAAACAGAAGCAAAGAAAAAAAATAAAAATAAAAGTTCATACAAAGCACACAAAGCTAAAACAAAATGTAGAAGATATCAAGATTTCCTTCACCGAAAATATCTTATCTGAATTTACTACATAGTGCACATGTTTTCTTGGAAGTATACAATTGTCAGCACTTATTATGCTATTTCATTTCAGATATATTGGTGATTAACCTTTGAGTTTTTTAGGTTAGAGTGAAGGAAGTCTGATTGCTTATGTCACACAACAAAACCGGAGAGAAATGTCAGTATGTGTTCTCATCAGTAAAATCAACATCTCTTAGAACCATACCAATTATAAAAGTGAAAATAAACATGCATTATCGCAAGCATTCAAAACATAATCTGAAAGTAAAATCAGTAATACCAGATTGGACAAACTGTGACAGCCAATCCTTACCATAATATAGTAATATAAGTATCATGTGACCACTCATCCTTACCATAGTACAGTAATATAGTATCATGTGACCACTCGTCCTAACCATAGTACAGTAATAAAGTATCATGTGACCACCCATCCTTGCCATAGTACAGTAATATAATATCATGTGACCACTCGACCTAACCAAAGTCCAGTTATAGTATCATGTGACAACTCAACCTAACCATAGTACAGTAATATAGTATCATGTGACCACTCGTCCTAACCGAAGTACAGTAATATAGTATCATGTGACCACTCGACTTAACCAAAGTCCAGTTATAGTATCATGTGACCACTCAACCTAACCATAGTACAGTAATATAATATCATGTGACCACTCGTCCTAACCATAATATAGTAATATAGTTTTCACCATAGTACAGTAATATAGTATCATGTGACCACTCGTCCTAACCGAAGTACAGTAATATAGTATCATGTGACCACTCGACCTAACCATAGTACAGTAATATAGTATCATGTGGCCACTCGTCCTAACCATAGTACAGTAATATAGCATCATGTGACCACTCGTCCTAACCATAGTACAGTAATATAGTATCATGTAACCACTCGTCCTAACCATAGTACAGTAATAAAGTATCATGTGACCACTCGTCCTTACAATAGTACAGTAATATAGTATCATGTGATCACTCATCCTAACCATAGTACAGTAATATAGTATCATGGGACCACTCGTCCTAACCATAGTACAGTAATATAATATCATGTGACCACTCGTCCTAACCATAGTACAGTAATATAGTATCATGTGACCACTCGTCCTAACCATAGTACAGTAATATAGTATCATGTGACCGCTGGTCCTAACCATAGTACAGTAATTTATGTAGTATAAACTCCTCAAAAAGAATGAGGCAGTAACTCACCTTATCAATTTGATTGACTGGAGCTCCGTATTCGAGGAGAATCTTGACCACGTCCAGATATCCTCGGGCCGCAGCATTGTGTAGAGCAGTTTCTCCTTCCTGTAGAAAGAAATACATGTCATGATCCAGCAGCAATCTCACACTTAGCTTTATATGTGTACGATCATGATACAGCACTCGCATCACACTTCAGTTTGCTTTGTATTCCTATAAAGTTAACTGATTTTTAAATTCAGACCCAGCATAAGGGGGATAACTCTCACAATCATTGTTATTATGTTGCGGTGGAAAAAAATAAAATAGAATAAAATCTACCTGTCAATACAAATAATTGAGGTATTTTATGGGACCGTTAATGTTAATCTATCACACTGTTAACTGTTAATAAGCCAAACTAAAGCTATCATTAAACAACACCTTTAGGAAACGTCAGACTGAATTTTAATGAATATTTCACAGGGCATATAAACAAAAACCTAAAATAACCTTGGACACAAGGTCGATGGTATACAAGCAATTTTTGAAAGTCAAAATCAGATACAGTCATCTTAAGATGTGGTATATACTTTCATATAATATTATGATAAATAAGGCTTCATATGAGAACCAGTGACTTGTATGAGAGACAGTTCTATAGACCCTATGCTTGAAGGGTGCTTCTACAGACAATATGTGTGTCTTCAGACCCTATGTGTGAAGGGTGGTTTTACAAACAATATGACAGTTTACTCTACTTAGTCTTCAAATTTTGATTTTCTACAAAGGTTTCCTGTACTTGTCTAGTGTTTCTACTCGCTAAATCAAGTTTAATGTCTAGGTGTAGAGCCTTAGAGAAGTGTCAGGTAGTGCTATGTAAAAAGGAAAGGTTGTTGAAGGGAACCTGCCATTTTATCATTCTCTTACCTTCTCCCTTTTCTTGTCCTCATTGAAATATTGATGCATAATTCTTACTAGCAAAAAGAAACTATCGTACATCTGATCTTGGAGGACTTAGTTCCATTTACACCTAATGCAATTATGACATTCTCCTATTTTAAAGTTTAGACATAATTTAGCTTTACTACATTTCCATATTTCATCAGCTGTAAGACCTTACTCTGTAGACTGTATAAAGCCCCACCCCCACCCTCACATTGTTAAACTGATTTGATATACGAGGGTCCTACCTGCAAATAAGCACTTGGAGCATATACATGTAAAGAGTCAAATACTCAGAAATAATTAACCCAACCACTCATTTTACTCCATTCTAAGGATTAAACCTTCTGAGATTTATATAAAATGTTATCACATACCTGTTGAATTTTGTTATAGTAATACAAGCAATTTTCAGATCATAAAATACAACGTTCTACATGGATTGTTGTATTTACCTACTAGCCGGAACTACTTTTTTTATGGGAATCCCTTGTCATGGCGAACTGAAAAGTTCCCGGTATTTGCCAAAAATATCAAAGTTTATAAAATCTTTGTATCGATCTCTACCAAATACAGAAGGCATGTGATAAAAGCAAAACCACACACTTGTGTTTTTCTAACGAATCAGAAAGCATTCATTTATTGTACCGACATATATATTCATGAGTGCGCGGAGTGCTGTCTGATTGTTAGAAAAACACAAGTGTGTGGTCTTGCATATGTATTGTGGAAGGTTAGAATTTAACTGTACAGGACAGAGAGTAAGTTAGTACCTTGTTGGCTGCGTCTATCTTAGCCCCTGAGGAACAGAGGGAGGTTACGATCCGCAGGAAGCCGTGCCACGAGGCACTGTGTAAAGCGGTCTCCCCGAGCTGTAGGCACACAGGAAAGAAGCAACTATAGGGTTAGGTGTTATAAACGCTCAAAACCACCTTATTTCAAATCATTTTCACATCAAATATTAACGTATTAAATACAATGAATCAGTCACGTTTTTTTTAATGAAACATATTTGTTTTACACATCAATTCATATGAACGGACAATCACAGACTCAAATATTCAGGCACACACAAACTTCATTATAAACATATTTTATATTTGAATATATATTGAAACTTGAGATGTAAACATTAAAACTCTAGATATACACTATTGAACTCCAGGTATGTGTTCCACAAACATATCAACTCCCAATAGAAATTTTTTAAACTCCAGATATAAACTCCCAATAGAAACATTTAAACTCCATATATAAACTCCCAATAGAAACATTTAAACTCCAGATATAAACTCCCAATAGAAGCATTTAAACTCCCAATAGAAACATTTAAACTCCAGATATAAACTCCCAATAGAAACATTTAAACTCCAGATATAAACTCCCAATAAAAACTTTAAACTCCAGATATAGACTCCCAATAAAAACATCTAAACTCCATATATAAATTCCCAATAAAAACATTTAAACTCCAGATATATACATTCAAACTCCAGTTATGAACATTTTAACTCCAGATAAAAACATTCAAACTCCAGATAAAAACATGTAAACTTCAGACATGAGCATTTTGTTTTTTAAACCCCCTGTATTAGGCTTTCAAAGCACAGAAATCTGTTAACATCACATAAAATATAACATGTTCATGTGAAAAATTACAACAAAGCTCAATGACAATTTAGCTTTATAATGGTATTTGAATGTCTGCCTTATTCAAGAACAAGCACACAGTCTATATGTTAGAGAGCTTTGAACTCTAGTGGCTATTTACTTGTTTAAAACTTACTTTTTAGAATTGAAACAAGCAAAATGTTAGATAGCAAGATTAAGAGAGAAAATATAAACATGGGATGTTCTCTCAAATACTTCTGAACTATAATCCACACAAAACTGGCCCAATAAACTGGGCATAGTCAAATAAGAAATGTCAAAAAGGTGAAAGAAAAGAGTCAAAAGATTAAGGGTGAAAGGTCATGCTTACGTTGTCCTGCAGGTTGACATTGGTGCCAGCAGAACACAGGAATTCTACGACTGCAGCATGTCCGTATCTTGCAGCAACATGGAGAGCAGACTCACCAGACTGGAAAACAGAGCATATAGGATTATGTATGTACTTAAGTTCTAAGCGAGCTAATCAGTAAACGACAAACAAGAACTCAAGAAGTGACCTGTTAGAATTTGCTTGCATAAAACCAATAGCCTACAAAATATCTTGTATTCCTGAAGTCATGATTTCTCTGTAATAAATACCATGACCTCTCCAATATGTGAGTGTTGTTTATTTAGACCTTAAACATAGGTAAGGTCTTGAACTTAATATTTATGTTGTAAAAAAATGAAACAGAATGGAACAGAACATGAATCCTTCGTTGCATTTGCTAAAATGGGCAATGATAACAATCAGGAGAGGCTAACCTTGTTTTGGGTGTCAAAGGGAACATTCTCGTCCTTCAGATGTCGTAAAACATCCAGGTGACCCTGTCGGGCTGCCCAGTACACTGCACTATCGCCGTTCTGAAACACAGAAAGTCAACGTGAAATGCCACAAACCGGTTGAAATTCCAATGCTGTGTCTACCTTGTTGAGAACTCTAGGTGATATAACATTAGAAATAATAGTGATTACTCTGACAAAAGCAAGAGAACAAAATCTCATCCAGTTGAAAAATTGTCAAATCTATTTTATATTGAAAGATATAATAATCAGTCGGTAGATCCCACTGTGGGAGTGGTAAAAGGCTCTTTGTGTATGGAACATTAGTTACCACTAACATCAAGACATTGCATGTTTATTGTAAAAAATAATCTTTCACTGAAAAGAGATTAAATTACATTTGACTTATTTTCCTGTTGGACCTACATATTTTTTATAGATTTTTTTTTTAATATTTTTGGGAACATATGCTTAGAAATGTATCCCTCCCCTTGTCTTGTATACCCATGTCCACCCCCTTGGCCTGTAGCCCCTCACCTTGTCCTGTATACCCATGTCCACCCCCTTGACCTGTAGCCCCTCACCTTGTCCTGTATACCTATGTCTACCCTCATTGGCCTGAAGCCCCTCACCTTGTCCTGTATACCAATGTCCACCCCCTTGACCTGAAGCCCCTCACCTTGTCCTGTATACCCATGTCCACCCCCTTGGCCTGTAACCCCTCACCCTGTCCTGTATACCCATGTCCACCCCCTTGACCTGTAGCCCCTCACCTTGTCCTGTATACCCACATCCACCCCCTTGGCCTGTAGCCCCTCACCTTGTCTTGTATACCCACATCCACCCCCTTGGCCTGAAGAAATTTCAGCACTTCTGTGTGACCTCCACTGGCTGCCATATGGACTGCAGTCTCTCCATGCTGAGAAAATCGTAGAAAAGGATAAAAAGTTCATTATAGCAAAGTCAGTCATTGGTACATGATTATTACTCAGTAATAGAGCACATTGAATGATACATTTTGTTCATTTTACCACATATGTTTATTGATTGGTATTTGAATGCCAGAAGATGTTAAGTAAGATTATTTGTAGAACTGGCTTCTTGAAAAATATGCATAAAGTGATTTACCGATGATTTTCAAAAGAAGATTACAAATGCTAGGCTTATGATGCAGACTTAGCACTGAAGCTGGTTGGGAAAAGGTATGTCACGTGGTGGTTACAGCTCCGACATGGCACACCACCATTAACTGATTCATACAGACTTTATCATATTACCCACAAAACAAACCTCTCATCTAATTATCACCCGCGAAACTGACGCCTCTGGCCCATAAAGTTCACCAAACATCTATTGATGTTTGGCTTACAGCACAGACCAGGAGGTGAAAAAATGTGCTTATATGTCGTCTATAAGCTGTTTGAGGCACCTTGGCAGCATCTCAATAAGATGGATTTTTTGCATATGTGATGACCAACAATTTAACTTCTAATTCAAAATAATTTTGAAGCATGATCAGAACAATAAGGATCACAAAAAAATGTTAATTTAGTTTTGCAGACATATGACCATTTCATCCTTGATGGTGACACAAATTTGACAATCGAATGACACTTACCCTGTTTGCAGTGGTGAGATCAATATTTTGTGCCATGCTGACGAGTTCCTTCAGACCTTCCACATTGCCCTCTTCTGATGCACAAAACAAGGCAGCCATCACAAAGTTCTCAGCCTTCTCCTGTCAGACACAAAACATCCATATAGAGCTGCGTGGAAGTCAAAGCTAAAGTGTATTGACTCCCGCTAAAAGTCCTGATTATGTGTGTTTTTCAGACGGCGTATTGTGCGACTCATAGAAACACATCAGAATGGATACCAGCCATTTCGTGTACAAATGTGAATGATTTTTATACCTTTGGAAGATGCGATAACGCAGAACTTGATGGAAATATTTCAATTTCCTTCACAAGAATTGTGATGGTAAAACAGTCTGCAGCCTTGAGCACAATAGACCCTGCTTTATCTATCAATCACCTTGTTAATTACGTACCCGCTGACCTGTGTCCCTGTCTACTGGGTACTCACTGACCCATGTCCCTGTCTACTGAGCATTCACTGACTGACCCCTGTCCCTGTCTACTGGGTACTCACTGACCCGTGTCCCTGTCTACCGAGTACTCGCTAAACCGTGTCCCTGTCTACTGGGTACTCACTGACCCGTGTCTGTCTACTGGGTACTCACGGACCCGTGTCTCTGTATACTGGGTACTCACTGACCCGTGTCCCTGTCTACTGGGTACTCGCTGACCCGTGTCCCTGTCTACTGGGTACTCGCTAACCCGTGTCCCTGTCTACTGAGTACTCGCTGACCCGTGTCCCTGTCTACTGGGTACTCACCGACCCGTGTCTCTGTCTACTGGGTACTCACTGACCCGTGTCCCTGTCTACTGGGTACTCACTGACCCATGTCTCTGTCTACTGGGTACTCACTGACCCTTGTCTCTGTCTACTGGGAGCTCACTGACCTGTGTCCCTGTCTACTGGGTACTCACTGACCCCATTCCCTGTGTATTGTGACCACAACATAGAGAGCTACTAAGGGGATGTATCTTAACAGTAGCAGTGGACTGCCTCTGCAGCAAGCCAGGAACTCCACACACCAAAATCACACACTGCCTTTTTCTCCCTCGATTCCAAGCAGCAATGTCAACTCTCTGACAGAATATACGCAGTCCTTACTTTAATCTCCAGGGAGTTCATTTTAAAGATGAAAAAAAATCAATGCAAAATTGTCTATCTACAGTAGTTCTGTCATAGTCAATAGAGGAAATTAGGCAATATCACAGATCAGACGTTGATATGCGTACACCATTCCTTACATGTCACAGACAAAGGTGTTTACTTGCAGCGAGGACAAACCACTGTACACATCTCAATGTTGTGTGGCCTCGACCCCGCACATCCTGTAGAAGATGTGTGTCTATTAAACAGACTGTTACACATCGGCCTAAACATAATGATGATGTTAAACATATAAATGGTGCATTCAGTAATTTGACACAAGTGTTAACAGAAACTATTGATTGTGATAACTATCTGTGTCCATGTACAGACACAATGGAGAAAAGTGCTGCAGATACTGCACGGCAGCCGGTGATAATCAGCTACGGTAGATGTCAGCAAACTCTCACATCAGAGGATAGACAAAATCTAAATCTGAATCCAACATAGGGAAAGAAAGTTATTGGTGAAGACTTTCAAAACAAAAAGGACAAATGCGGATGAAGAAGTTATAAGTACATGTACTGGCCTTGGAAGCAATACATGATTGACTGTATCAGACTCTTATGTAAACTGGAACACTGACAAGCCAGCAAGGCCCCGATCGTGTGTCTGATCGTTTACCCATCCCCTTCTATTTGTAGTAAGATTAGACTCTGAATTCAAAGATAATGTCCAAAAACCAAAGTGTGGACAGACAGATCGAGACACATAGAGTCAAAAAAAAGAAACAGAAAGATGAACAGAGAGACGGACAGATGGACACCAATAGGGCACCTGCATCTCAAATGCGAGGCCCTAATAGATAAGTAGAAAAAATATAGGAAACTAATGAAAAACTTCAAGTTATTTACGGTACTAATGAAACTGTCATGCTAGTCTATACCAATTTTCTTGCTTATGAAATATCTGTATTAAAGATATGTTTTAATCTTTCTGAAGATTTCTACATCATCAACTTTAATAAAAAAAATAAGGCAAAAGTTTGACTTCCTGTTTCCAAGAGTTGGGAGATCTTGTTGCTGCTTCTTTACAAATATTGTCAGCTTTATGAGACAGTAATGATCAACGGATCCAATCATGATCCATCAACCACTGAAGTAAAAAAGTAATGTGAGCTTCACGGAGAGTAACATCCAGCAAGTCAACGAACGCCGTACACATATACTATAGTACATGGTGAATAAGAGGGGTTAAGACTGGCTACTTGACACTTATTTGTATATAATGCGGATTTTCCTATTTTTGGTATCCTTACTCAATCTTAAGTGACAATGACTGAATGATTCCGGATAATGATGGTCACGTACACACAACCACAGCTACATTACAAACTTATCTCCAATACAAACCTAATTACTACATATATGTGGAACATTTTATTTGGTGCACCTACCTTTGATTTTGTGCTAATATTCAGGTTAGGTAGAATCTGATGAATGTGATGAGGAATTTACTACAGAAATCTGGAGGTGAACAAGTTTACTGTAAACATTTCCAGACTTTCATTCATAAAGCTTACAATGATCAAGATAAATGAATCATCTGGAATGTATGTAATGTAGACTTGAAACAAACCTTTATACATATAGCCTACAAGACAGCCGGTTGTATTCTTCTTGTAGTCATAATTTCTGTGCAATAAACATCTCGACCTATCCATTAAGTGAATTCTAATATAAACAATATTGTATCTCTCCCTTGTAGCACTTTGTCCAGTGCTCATTCAAATTTAAAAAAATCCTTATGGGAATCAAAGACATCAATTCTTTCTTTTACTTCATAAACAGTTTCCGAAGCAGCAATATTTTAATTACAAAATAATAAGTCTAAGTACCAAACAAAACCAAGATTAGAACAATTCAAACTTTACAAGTAAATAAAGTGTAAGAATTACAGAGAAGAGAGTAATGGTGGTACAAATAGCTGTAGACATTGGCTTTCTGTTGTAACATTATGATGTAGATTGCTTCAGAAGTAGGCTAGCCTTTTAACTTGAGGATTTGTAGCAGACAGGATAGACTATAACACTCTTCCATGCCCAGGGGTGTAGGATATGGATATTCAAACTGGGTGAAACCAGATGCTTGTCGAAGGTTTTGCACAAAGCTGAAAATCCTGAGGGTGGAATTTCCCTATTCTATACCCCTGGACATCTCTTATTCCAATCACCAGGATTAGCTCATAAACCACAAAAAGGCCACCGGAATATTCCTGATTTCGTGACGTCACGCTATTGTGATGTCATGGACATGAAATGGGGCGTAAGATAGACATTTCTTGCACTCATTTCTTGCCCTGAACATTTCTATAATTAACACACAGCATTTGTAGTAGACAGGTATAAACAGTAGTTACCTATACATCTTGAGGGTATGAGGACAGGTATAAACAGTGGCTATCCTGTACAACTTGAGGACTTGTAGACAGCTAAAGAGAGTAGCTAATATGTACAGTATAACTTGAGGACTTGTAGACAGCTAAAGAGAGTAGCTAATATGTACGGTATAACTTCAGGACTTTTAGACAGATACATAACTTGAGGATTTGTAGACAGGTAAAGAGACTTTTAATAGAGTAGCTCATATGTATAGCTTGAGGATTTGTAGACAGCTACATAACTAGACAGCTACACTGTATAGAAAGTGACTATTCTGTATAACCTGATGATTTGTAGGTAGCTTTATTATACCTCTACTGAGTTTTCCCTATATAAAAATAATACGATATAATATCCTATTTCCCTTAAGTCACTTAAATCTCTCCATCTGAGAGCTACTCCCTCCCCAAATTAGGACTACTCCCTGCAAAAAAGGGCTACTCCATCATGAATATTTGTAGGCAGAGCTTATAAGATTTCAACCAATGAAAACATTGGTAGGCCGAGCCTTCTCCGTAACGCTCATGATGTCACATTTTCAGAACCAAATGACAACAGCGAAAAATGGTCACCAATGAAGGCCGTTTTGTTGTTGTAAAGAGGAGTTACAGCAGATTTTGGACGCTAAACGTAGTTTAAATTCAAAAGCTGTTATAAAGACTGCAGTGAATTCACTTTTAACTTATTTAACATAACGGAATGCCGGAAGCGTCGACAATAAGGGTCAAGCAAGTTCAGAGGAGGTGAACGTGTGTCCACACAAGTTTTATGCAGAACTTAAAAAAGTGGATGGGACTAGATATGGTAGGAAAACAATGGTGACTATGAGATACAGTCTATAAAAACACTTATTGAATGCTAGAAATGAAGATATCATCAAGGACGATGCATACAGCACTTTCAATTGTATTTTTTTCTTTGAAATTGTAAAAGGAAATGAATAAATGAATTCATTTGTTAAATTGTCTTTAACAATTTGTTTCGTTATAATAAAACAGTTATAGAATGGGTAATTGGAGAAATAGCACATTTATGGTCACCCTTGGTGAAAAACTATTCTCCTCGACGGCTTTGCCGCCTCGGGAAATAGTTTTTCGCCGAGGTTGACCATAAATGTGCTATTTCCCTCATACCCATTCTATAACTGTATAATAGACAGTGACTATTCTGTATATCCTGATGATTTGTAGGTAGCTATAGACGGTGAGTATTCTGTATAACCTGAGGATTTGTAAGTAGCTGTAGACAGTGAGTATTCTGTATAACCTGAGGATTCGTAAGTAGCTATAGACAGTGACTATTCTGTATAACCTGATGATTTGTAGGTAGCTTTTCTGTATAACCTGATGATTTGTAGGTAGCTTTTCTGTATAACCTGATGATTTGTAGGTAGCTATAGACAGTGGGGATTCTGTATAACCTGATGATTTGTAGGTAGCTTTTCTGTATAACCTGATGATTTGTAGGTAGCTTTTCTGTATAACCTGATGATTTGTAGGTAGCTCTAGACTGTGCCTATTCTGTATAACCTGATGATTTGTAGGTAACTATAGACAGTGACTATTCTCTATAACCTG